GGACACCACGGGGGTCGGGGGAACATCAAACGGGGAAGCCAAAATCCCAAGGTGGGGTACAAACCAGCGGGTAGCCGGTGGGTGAGGGGTCACCCGCCGGCGGCACTGTTCCGGGCAGCGGGTGCCGGGCGGGCAGCTGCCCGCTGCCGGCGTTGCCCAAATAGGCCGCGGTTAGGTGGCGGGTCCCCTACCCCCCACTGACTCTTTTTCACCAAAAACGTCCCGGGAACCTTTGTGGAACCCGAAACCATGCTTAGACACTTTTAAATGCAATCGATAACACACGTAGACAATTAACGGATCAAAATCAAGAAACATATGGTACATAACCTATCATGTTTTTCTAAACATAATCAACACCCAATCATGCGAATTCCCACCCAATATACCAAGAATAATACCATACGAATTCCACGGATATAACCTAGGGTTCTAATTATTTTTAAATCAACAAGAACACAATTCATCTTCCAAAATCAAGATTCGGTAGGAATATCATATAACTATCAAGAACTCATATAATGATTAAGAACATCAAGAACACCATATAATTATCGAGAACGTCATATAATCATCAAGAACACCATAATTTTCAAGAACCTTTCATTATCAAGATCACCCATGGAATCATCCCACCAATCATCAATAATAATATCACAAATCATCAATACACAATAATATGGGGGAATCCTAAGAGGGGAATCATAGCTATGAAAATAGGTTTTGTTGAGACATGGGTTACCTTTTAGCCTTAATTAATTCCTTGGCTATGAAGGGTCTTTCTTGAAGCTTTCTTCTTTCTTGATTTCTCCTAGGGGAATTCTTGGAACTTCTTGTGTGGTGAGGGATTATTGTGGTGGGAGTTCTAGGTGTCTCCTTATGTTCCCTATTTATATATCTAAGAGTCTTACTTAGGGCCTAATTACTATAGGTTTGCTAACTCTATTCCTTTTAGGACTAAGGATTGGGTTTAGGGATAAGGGCCCATGGACTATGGTGGGCCTTTCCTAATTAATTATTGTGTTTTAATTCTTTCTTTTGGGTAATTGGTTAAATGATTAATTGGTTTTAGGGATCGTAACACGGGGTGTTACACTGGTGCCTTCATATCTTGTCTCTAGGATTTCCCAATCCTTTTTCCCCTCCTTTACCCCCGTAACTTGGGTGAATACTGATTCGTGTAAAGACCCCAAGATTGAATTCAAGGCTTTGTTGTTGAGATCGATGCAGTTATCTCAGCCTCAGTCCAAGTTTCCATAGGTTTAAAGCGACATAGTTCCATCTTCATTCTGAACAGTCGGAGGTGTCCACCCAGTGATCACCGTATGTCAAACCCTCATTCCTTGTGCTTGGAGATTGATTTCCATGCGGGCTTTCCAGAATGAATAGTTCGAACCATCCAATTTCGGGGGTTTCATTTTAGCATACATCCTGATACAATCAGACAACCAGCCAAAACACAAACAGAGCGAAACACAGACAGATAGTCAACTTGCACCACTTAATTAAGGCCCTAATATAGTAATAGTTTCACGGTGGCATTTTCATAAATAATTGAATTTTGAAGTGTAAGTAAATTATGTTAAAAGTGCAAGTAATAGTTTCAGATAGTGCACATAAGTGCAAGTAAAATGTATTAAAAGTGTAACAAATAATGTACACTGAGCAGTAATATTAAGTGCACCTAACGTTATAATTAGTTGCACCAAATGTTATCATTAAGTGTGCCAATGTGTAAGACATTATCATAGGTTCTGCAATGTTAAAATTGTAAATTACTTGCACTATTAAGTGAAATTGATTGCACTTTAAGTGATTTTACTTGCACACTTACACCAATTACTTGCACTTTTAACACATGTTATTTGCACCAAAGTTCGAGTTATTAATGAAAATGTCATCACATCTTTTTTTAAAAATAATATCTAATCAATTAAATCTGGACACGTGGACGACGGTTGGTTCTCAATTCTTCTTTCGCATAAAAACAATTCTTTCCAACACAAAGCTTTTATATATATATATATATATATATATATATATATATATATATATATATATATATATATATATATATATATATATATATATATATATATATATATATATATATATATTGGTGAAGAAAGAGAGGCTAGGCCTCAGGAATTATCTAACTCTACGGTTGAGTGCTCCTCCAGCGTCCCGGGCTAAGGGTTCAACCAAACCCTCCATGGCTTCAGTGAACACCGAGGTTCCCTAATCTTTCTCAAGTGCCAAATTGGCTAAGAAGTCGGCACATCAATTCCCTTCACGGAAGATGTGGGAGAAAAGGATACCTTCCAACTTGGTCGCCATGCTCATACAGTCCTGCAGTAAGGTGCCATGAGTGCTATCTAGGTCCTCATAACCATTCATTAAGTAAATTACTGACTTAGAGTCCATCTCCACGATCACCCTAGAAACCCCCTTTTCAAGGCAGAGTCGTAAACCCTCCCTTAGGCCCCACAACTCTGCCATGAAACTATTGCTCCTTCCAATCTTGGTTGTGAAACCCCAAACCAATTCCCCAAACTCATTACGAACAATTCTTTCCAACACAAAGCTTTTATATGAGATGAAGAAATAAATAACAATAAACAATGTCATTTTCTTGGATATAAACAAATGTTGTGTAACCTGCTTACTTATCTTGGAATTTAACCTTTGAAGGTTACATACATTTAATTTTGATAAGTTTACACTTAAAATAATTTTATCTTCAATCCCGTTGTTCACTATTGCATCGGTTCTCTTGCCTAGACAGACAGAACGCTCTCTTGAAACAAAATTTGCCAATTTCTTCTGGGGAGTGGACAATGGTAAGCCAAAGCGGCACTGGGCTTCCTGGAGGAAGCTATGTTATCCCGAGGATGAGGGGGGCCTAGGAATTCGTTCAATCGACACAATCCAGAAGTCTGCCTTCGCGAAGCTGTTGTTCAATTTGCTTCGAGGGGGGTCTTTGTGGTGTGATTTTTTGGAGTCCTTGTACCTTAATCGTCCTCATTTGGCTCCCTCACTCACTTGGAAGAGGATGCAGCAGGCACATGACTTTGTGGATCTTAACGTTGTTTCCAAAGGTGATTTGGTGGTCTGGTCGCTGGCTCCTTATGGTGATTTTACTACTGCATCGGCATATGAAGCCCTCAGGCCGAAGGCAGGCAGAAGCTTATCGGCGCGCTGCATTTGGGGAGATAAGGTGCCCTCAAAAATCTCAATCTTCATGTGGCGGCTTCTACGCCAATTTTTGCCTTTCCCAGATGTCATTCAAAAATTTGGTGTCTGCCTTCCTTCCATCTGTCCTCTTTGTTCAAATGCCTCAGCGAATCTTAGTCACTATTTGCTCGCCTACCCAATTGCCCAGTAGGTTTAGAGACACTTTCGCAATCTTTTTGGTTTGGGGAATCCTACTACCGATTCAATAAGAGTTGAATGTCATTCTTGGTGGCTGTTTTCGGTTCTGGGATCGGCGACGGCTTGGTGCGCAAACTTAATTCCGAGCCTTGCATTATGGACCTTATGGTACTCTTACAACCAGGGTCTTCATGATGGCCGAGCTCCACCTGTAGTAGAAATCGTTAGGTGCGTCAAACGCGACTTGCTGGCTATCTCCACCACCCGTAAGCTTAAGCGATCAAGTTCGAGCGACGATCCTCTTCTGGCGATGGGACTGGTGGCGCGTTTTACGCCTCCGCCGAGACTGCTTTCGATATGGGTTAAATGGTTGACGCCGCCTACCGGCCGATTGAAGCTTAACACTAATGCGGCTTTCATGACGGATGCTTCTGCCGGTGGGGCGTGCTTTCGGGACTCTCGGGGCATTCTTCAAATTGGCTTATGCTTCCGCCTTGATGCTGCCTCGGCTCTGGAAGCTGAGACTATCTCACTGCCTTTAGCTTTGCAATGGTGTGAGGTGTTTGCTAAATACCCGTTCATGGTTGAAGTGGACTCGCTGGCCCTCGCCACTTTGGTGTTGGGGGAGCAAACTAGGATTCCATGGAGGATAAAAGACGAGATTCTTTCTATTTGATCTAGCCTTGCTACTTGGGGCTCCACGATAGGACATGTCTATCGGGAAGCCAACCAGGTGGCAGATGCTTTAGCGACAGCTGGTTTGAGTTTTCAATCTTCCAAAATTTTTTATGACGCTAGCTCTTTGCCCGAAAAGGCCAGGTTAGCAGTTTTGTATGATCAAAGGGGCTTTGCTTCTCATCGAGCTGTTCGTCGGCAATAAAGTCTATTTTTGTTAAAATAAAAAATAAAAAAAATCTGAAGCTATATAACACTCGAAGGCATAAAGTTATGCACTTTCTTTCTGGAAGATGCTTCCTTCCGAAAGTCAAAGTTGCTTCCTTTCGAAGTTGCAACTCGGTTCCTTTCGAAACACTTTCTTCCAAAATCAATGCTTGCTTCCTTCCGAAAGTCAAAGTAGTCAACTTGCATCCTTCCGAATTTGAAGCATTTGTTCTTGTTTTTGACGTTTCATTTTTGAGTTCACTTTGAGAATCAATTTCTTATTCACAATAATTTATTTTGAGCGTACAATATACTAATTTTTTTGTCTCACTACAAATAACCCAAATCAACTTTAATCCAACCAAATTAGATGTGGATCTCACATATATTTATATCACAAAATTAAATAACCACTTAAAATTATCATTTGATCTAAAAACTCCAACATTATTTGAATCTCTAATCCAGTGGTTAACCTGATGTCATCCGCATTTGTCCATGCTTGCATTTTCCTACCTGTACACAGCTGTGAGATAATTAAATTTAAACTAGATAGGAGCAAGAATATTAGTTAATGTATAGATATATGATTCAATCCTTTTCATGGTTGCTTTGGAGCAACCCAGCCGTTAGAAAAATGCTGGAATTTTTTTGATCTTTCATTAAGAGATACGGTTACCCATATTATTATGATATATATTGAAGGTTTGATGTGCTGGATCATTGGTGAGCTGAGTATTAAAATTCTTGACAAGAGTAGTCTTGCCCCAACCTCCCAAACACCAATCCTCTTATACTCTTCACTTTTCAACATATCCATCATCTTGGCAAAATTTTTGATGTTGTGGGTTAGTTGATCTTTTGTTTTACTGAGGCTCAAAACCTAGACCTCCCACATAAGAGAGCAATTTGATACCAGTGAACCACAAGCTACTAGTGGGTTAGTTGATCTTTGATCGATGTTACCTTAAATTTTAGTTTTTTTTATTTTCTTCATGAGTGACGACAAATATTTGATTTGTAAATCGAAGTTATTATCTATCGGACTATAGTAATTTTGTCGTTCACATTTATCTGTGCATGCATGCATTTTTCTAGGTGTATACAATTGTGATATGATTAAATTCAATACTGCATAGTAGAAAGTGTATAGATATATTTAAATCCTTTTCATGGTTTCTTTAGATAACTCTTTTTTTTTTTTAAACAAGATTGCTTAATTAGCTAGATAACTTCTTTTTTTTTTTTTTGTGAGGAAAGAGAGACTAGGCCTCAACAATTATCTAATTCTACAGTTGAGAGCTCCCCCAGCATCACGTGCAAGATGAACCCTCAAACCTTTCATAGCTTCAGTGAACACCCAGGTGTCCCAATCTTTGTCTTGAGGTAGATTGGCTAGATAACTAATTAAGAAATCAACTAAGCATACATTTCTTAGCTCTTTCCTTTTGGCTTTACTGTCGCCGATAATTCACTTAAGTCGATTTTATAAATCTTGCGAAAATAATAACAACCAACATCTAGATCTATATTTATATGTATCTATATAATAACAAAGTGATTGTGAGATTTTTTTCGCCCAAATTCGGGGACAATTTATTAATATCAACATCATTTGACAAAAGTGTCATTTAGGATTAAAATCTAAAGACCTTAAATAAATGATTACACTTTTCCTTTTAAAAAATTATTCAAATTTATAACTCTCACATTTTTCACCTATAAATACAATGGATTTGAGACATAAGAAATTATAATTCTTCATTTTCTTCTTTTTTGATCTGTGTGTTATTTTGTCTTCTTTATCATGATTCCATTCATTTTTTTGGGTAATCTCAATCATAATTCTTTATTTTCCGTTCATTTTCCTCGTCTTCGATCTCTGTGTTCTTTTGCGTTCTTTATAATGATTTCATTGTCTTTTTTTGCGTCATCTAATGATAAAGTGAAAATTGTAGATATATTTATTTTGAGATTTGATAGATCTCGAGTTTTCAATTTATTTTGTGTGTTTTGCAACGATTTGGAGGATTTGTGATGGGGGAGCTTGCAGCTGCGAATGGATACAAGTCTGGGGGACAACTACACATGTAACCCTTGCAAATGCGAGTGATGCGAAATCTTGTGGCAATTAAGCAAAAAGCAGAGATGAGTCTAGTTTAATTTGCATTGACAAATAATCTTAAAATTACTTCAAAAATTGACTTTGTTGTGTACGTAGTTCGTGCGATGAAAGATTAAGGATTAATTATATGATTTGGACGATTTCCGTAATCAGACAAGTGGATCGTAGTAGATTAGTAGGTATGTAGTGGTGTTGCTTTTCCTTGTAACAAGCTAATAGGAAACTTATTCGATAAAGTTTTCTCTTATTTCTGGAGATGGTTTTCAACAGCCAAATATAATTGTTTTACTTACACTTTCCTTTTGAAAAATAGTACAAATTTATAATTCTATACAGATATATTTTAACTAATCTCTATCTCTATATATATTAAAGCAAAATGATGGTCAAACAATTTTTTCCTCCAAAGTGTAAAAGCATTTATTGTATATATATCTATCTATCTATCTAATTTATTATCTAAATACCATAACCATTCAAATTTTTTCCTCCAAAGTGTAAAAACATTTATTGTATATATATATCTATCTATCTATCTAATTTATTATCTAAATACCATAACCATTCAAATTTTATAAGATTGATGTCATTCTTCCAAAAGGTTGAACCCTAACCCAACAGAGCACTTGGGAGGATCAACTGAACATGAACCACAGAGGCTAGACCTGTGCTCACTGCGTACAAGGGGGTTCAACCCGACAGAGCACTTGGGAGGATCAACTGAACATGAACGACAAAAGCTAGACCTGTGCTCACTGCATACAAAGAGGTTCAACTAAACATGAACCACAGAAGCTAGACCTGTGCTCACTGCGTACAAGGAACCCCCTAATTTATATTTGTAGTACTTATTTGAAAATTTTGGTGTATAATTATCTAATTAATTATATTTTGATTGTCATCATGATTTTATTGGATATATCATTTTTTATTTTGATCTGTTCATCCCTCCTTTACTGTACTGTTACCGAAATTTAAAACAAATTTATAATTCACCCTTGGATTTAGCATTCTTTTGTATATAAAATTTAAAAAAATTTAATCTTTGTTTAAATTATCTGTCAACTGTCTAAATTGAAAAATAATATGAATTAAATTCATATACTTTTATACTGTATTTAGCATTATTGTATTAACTTTCTTGAATTAAATTCATATAATTTTTATACTATATATTTAGCATTTTTTCTATATCATACGTGGATTTGTTTTTTTAAAAAGCATATCTTTAAGTCAAATGTACGTAACACGCACTTTCCAGAATAAGTAATCTAAGGGGATTAAAAATTTTGATTTGTGAGGATAATAGATAATCCGTGAGTACGACTAAAAATACCGTATACAAATAAATTTTTCAATAATGTTAATTGTTATTTAATAATTTGCTCTATACAAATTATCTTATTTTGTTATTATTATGTCATATTATTTAATAATTTTATTATTATTATCTATGTCCATGCATCGCACGGGTGCAAATACTAGTTAAGTATAATATTATTATAATTAAGGAATTAATTCTATGTACTAATTGGCCGAAATTAATGTACTACAGTAATAATTATTTATTAACAACATTGCTTAATATAATTTTCTTATTTACAGTTTCGTTTTGAAAAATCATACAAATTTACACTACTCCAAATGTGTTAAAAATATTGATTTCTGACAGTGAAAGCAACAAAACAACTTAAATAGCAAAACATTATATACAACCAAGTTTTTCAAAATTTGTAAAAAGTTTCCTTATTATATTATCATATATTTTAATATTATAATTTGTACGGAAAAGGATCAAATAGACCCTCAAACTTACCTGAAATGTCTTTTAGGCACTTAAACTTTTTAAAGATGCAATTAAACCCATCAACATTGTATTTTGGTACAATGAAGCCCAAAACAAGTTAGTAACCTGTGATAGCAGGTCACTAGGTTTCCGGCATATTTTTCCGACCGTAGATGATCGGCGTCGGTCACCTTCTCCATCATCATTGACCAGTGCATTTCAGGAGGCCGGGAGAGAGGCGATCAAATCTGGTCGCCTTCACTTTTTGGAAGGCGACTAGTTTCTGGTCGCCTTCGCCTTGTGGAAGGTAACCAGTTTCAGCTCGCCTTCTCCTGAAAGGGGACTAGTTTCTAGTCGCCTCCTCCGGAGAGGCAATGAGATATGGTCGCCTTCCCGGAGGAGGCGACCAGATCCGGTCGTTGAGTGGCGAACAGAAACTGGTCGCTGAGAGGCGACCTATTTCTGGTCGCCTTCTCCAAGAAGATTTGGTCGCCTCTCTCCCCCCCTGAAATGCTCTGGTCGATGAAGATGGAGAAGGCGACCGGCAAACGGCGCCGGTCGCTGACGGTCGGAAAAAGATGTCAGAAACCTAGTGACCTTCTATCACAGGTTACTAACTGCTTTTTGGGCTTCATTGTACCAAAATAAAATATTGATGGGTTCAATTGCACCTTTAAAAAGTTTTGGTATCTTATTGACTTTTCAGGTAATGTTTGATCACCTATTTGACTATTTTCTCTAATTTTTATTAAATTTCTTATCTTTTTTACTTTCTTACACTAATATACAAGAGTAGTAATGAAATTACTCATATTTTGATTCCAAGTATTTTTAATTCCGGACTACTAGCTATTTATTTTACTATAAAAAATTACTTAAATCTAATAGTGGAACAAAACATTTATAAATCACGTAATTTAATTCCAATTTTTTTACAGTTTTTTTTTTTTTTGAAAGTTACTGGCTCTATTACATTGTAGTATCTGTTCATATACTTTCTCAACCTACTGAAACACAAAGAACCAATAACGCCTCCACTGAGGCTTGAACTCATAATCTTCCAAATGGAAGTCCAACCCGGGTACCATTAGACCACATAGTCCTGGTCAATTTTTTCACAGTTTAATGCCTTTTGAAAATTATTTTCTCTTTTTTTTCCATATTTATTTTAGTAATAATATTTTTTTTCTTTTTTTCATATTTATTTTAGTAAAAATATAATTGCCTAAATTATTGGGGGTGGGGGACTTATGATGAGGACATGGGACCCCAGGGATCAATTTTATTGGATAAGTCTTAGCCCAATGGGGTGAAGAAGGAAGCATTGAGCAAAATGCTATAAGATGTGCTATTTTAAGTTTTTGTGGCCCTGTTCTAGTAAATAAATGTGGCCCTACCAAAATCAATACATGCAAGTTTTGAACCTTTGACCTCTAAGTTAAAATACAATAAATACACAATCTCACCATCTTTTCATAGAACCTTTTAAGTTTAATTGAAAACTTTTAATTTTTATTTCTAAACTAGCTAGGTAAAAATTAAATATTGGACCTCTAAAATTTGGGGCCCCTCTAAAATTGGGGGCCCTGTGCGGTAGCCCAGCTTGCACAGCCTAAAATCCGGCCTTGAGATGTGCTTTCATGGGGTTCAAACCCACAACCTCAAGCATAATAACACAAGCACCAACTACCTAAACCACTCAAGCCCTTGTGTACTAAAGAGCAAGAAACTCCACTTATGCATGGGAGTGCGTTGGAAGCAAAGTAGTGGGGGGACATGTGTGTGATCAAGAATGAAGGTTGTCCGATGCCGTACATTTGTCAACAATCTATAAGACCCTCTGCACTATATAAAACACTCTTCCCTTCCTTTAAGATCATCTATTAACTCATTAAATCCTAACTAGCTTAGTGGTTTGAGATCCTAACCTCTAACTCTATACTATGGTTTGATCCCCTAAGCCTACAATATTATTTATAGTTCATTCCTTAGGGCTATAGTATTTATTATTTATGTATTCTTTGCGCTGCGATTTTGGGTCAGAGAGTATCTCGGGCTTTGTAAGTACTATTTTGGCCCAGGCCCTAGGTAATAAACCTAGCTAATATTTTCCTACCCCCTTTCTGTATCTCTATACGCGCCCGATCCCAATAAAACCATCAATTACAATATCAATTTTTCCATGATAATTATAAACAACCAAATCATATATTATTCAATTAATTGGTGATACATTTATACTAATCTTATAATCAAATAATTCAGTGATTAGAATTGTGACAGGATAATGGTGCTAGCACCCGACCCGGATCATTAGCAGCATCTAACCCTGCACCACATGGAACCCCAACGGGCAGAATTGCAACGGGTGTCACCTTTACTGCCATTGAAGCCACCATTGATGAGAGAGAATTAAAGGCTTAGCTCCCCATTTATGCCTCATGTTGTTACCGTTAGCAGCTTTTGTATAAGTAGGAGCTCCCCTCAGCTTGAAAGGACACATTCTGATTCTTGTACTGAAACACTTAGCAATACAACTATTGTCACTCTTTTACATTGCGTTACTCTAATATTATTACTACCGGTAACATATTTACTATCAAATTATTTATAATTTAATCTTTAATTTTATTATCAATATATAATTAAAAAAAATTATCCGTGCAACATTTGAATCTAATCTGCAGATCTAGTGGTTGACCTGTTGTCATTCACATTTGTCCATGCTTGCATTTTCCTACCTGTACACAGCTGTGAAATAATTATATTTAAACTAGATAGGAGCAAGAATATTAATTAATGTATAGATATATGATTCAATCCTTTTCATGGTTGCTTTAGAGCAACCCAACAGTTAGAAAACTGCTGGTGGTTTTTGTCATCAGCAGTTCTTTGTTCATCATCATCTTCAAGTCCAACCGCTCAGCAATTTTGATCTTTCATTTTGAGATACGGTAACCCATATATATTACGATATTGAAGATTTGATGTGCTGGATCATTGGTGAGCTGATTATTAAAATTCTTGACCAGAGTAGTCTTGTCCACTCCTCCTACAATCGTTATGTTGTGAACACAGTTCTATATTTATAATTACTGAACTATATGTTCATAATTATAAAGCTATATATTAATAATTTTTTACCTTCATATTCATAATTATTTAACTTTATATTCACAATTACAGAACTCTATTTTCATAATTACTGAACTATATGTTCATAATTATAAAGCTATATATTCATAATTTTTGAACTTCATATTCACAATTACTGAATCTTTATATACATAATTACAGAACTATATGTTAATAATTATGTTCACAACTCTATATTCATAATTATAGAACTATATGTTCGTAATTTTTGAATTATATATACATAATTATGAACAGTTTTGGATTCTATATTCATAATTACAGAATTCTATTTTCATAATTACTGAACTATATGTTTATAATTATAAAGCTATATA